CTCGGGCGCCATAGACCTCCATTATTTGAATGTCAGCAGACAGCAAGAAGCCTCCCAGTTCTCCAGATGCATTTGAGATATTAAAAAAGTACTCCAGAGTGTTGTTCAGCATGGGGGTGAGTAGAAAATGAAGGCTAATCATGTTTTGGATGTACTATTCCTTTAAGACCATCTGATGAGACTTCTCACCTCCTGAAGCAGCTGATACCGGCCCTCCAGCTCCGTCACGGAGTTGAATCTGTCGGCCAGCTGCTTCTGCAGCCTGATCATCGACGTGTTGCTATTGACCTGTGACCTGGGAAGAAAACAGGCTGTGTTTAAGTCTTCCTGCTCAGGCTGCGGTAACACAACACATGAAGAAACAAACCTAAGAGTGGAAGTTTGCTGCTGTCGGGCCTGCAGGAGCTTCTCCTCGAACTCCTCCTCCTTCCTCCTCATCTTCTCCCTCAGCCGCTCTGCCGCAGCTTCCAGCTCCTCCATGTGACTCTGCTGAGACTCCACCACGTTCTCTCTGAACAAACATCAAATGTCTGTTTATTTCAGAACCAAAGGCACGTTTCTGACCGAGCTTCTAGTTGACATTTTAGAGAATCCCTTAAAGTCCCAACATTTTTTAGTCCTGTCCTACAATGGATCTGAAACTGCTCTCAGAACCTACTCATTCTACTCATTCGCCATGGGTCAGAGTAACAAGCTGGTTAGGTCTATATGACTGAGCTGCTAAAGAACAAAATGATCCAGTTTTGGATCAGAAACAAAAGCCAAAGATAGAAAAGAGGAATATAAATCCCGTTCAATCAGCAGGGATCCAAACAGACTTCATTACAGGTTCAGTGGTAGTATTGCTGCAAAGCAGGAGAAACCCACAGGTTACGGATCTCGGCCCTCGCCTCCTCAAGCAGGCTGTGTCCGTATCGAGGCAGCTTGCCGGTTGGAGGCCTCCCATGGCCTTCCGAGCTCCGCATACCTGAAAAAGACAGATACGGAGTGACTTTATATGTTGCTGACTGAACAGAATCACATGAGCCAACTAAACAGAACCAAATGATCCAAACTGACTAGATTCAATTGATCCAAACTAATCAAAACTAAAAGGTCTAAACTGAACAGATTCAAATGGCCAAAACCAAACACAACCAAATGATCATAACCTAAAAGAATCAAATTATCCAAATTAAAAAGAACCAAATGATTCAAACTGAAAAGATTCAAATGATCCAAACTAAACAGAACCAAATGATCCAAGCTGAAAAGATTCAAATGATCCAAACTAAACAGAACCAAATGATCCAAACTGAAAAGATTCAAATGATCCAAAATAAACAGAACCAAATGATCCAAACTAAAAAGATTCAAATGATCCAAACTAAACAGAACCAAATGATCCAAACTGAAAAGATTCAAATGATCCAAAATGAAACAGAACCAAATGATCCAAACCAAACAGAACCAAATGATCCAAACTAAACAGAACCAAATGATCCAAACTAAACAGAACCAAATG